TGTCTACTGAGTGTACATATGCACCATATTCTCTATACTCCAAACATCTACCACGAAACGTGTTTCGTTATTGATTCGGAACATGTGTCTTCTAGTGTCATTATTTAACACTCGGCGGACGTTAACAAGACCGCTATACGGGAATTGAAGTTTTAACAAGGGTTACGTCGTAAATTTGTTAAAAACTTTTTGGACCCATTTAATTTTGTAACATAAATAATAATTTTTAGTTGATTCTTGAATATAATCTGATTCTTTGAATCTATGTTAGAAAAGGGGGGATTTTTTGTCTTTGAAAAATATTCTGATTAAAAATCTATACCATTAAAATAAAGCGTAAACACATACTTCTTTGTTGCCTAAGATGTCAGCAATTACAACATATTTTTGAATAACTCTTTTTTTAATAAAAAAAAGCCCTACAATTACCTCACGCTTTAGGCTACATATTTTCACGCCATTAAACTTAGGGGGTAAATATTTTGGATAAAAAGCCTCTTGTGGGTAAGAGACTATAATTTGCTGCCAAGATCAAGGAAGCAAGATTGTCAAGGTTTGTCATCATGTCATGTCATTTTGATATTTGTAATTGATAATTTGACATATGTAAACAATAAAATAAAATTTTCATAATTTCATGCGGAGGAAATCGTACGGGAATAGCTAGTTTAATTATAATAGGAAAGTTAAATTTCGTATAATTCGTAAAAAGGATGCAGATGGTAATAAACAAAACCTATGTAAATTAATAGAAATATCATAACTTTCTTTTTGTTGGCATTTAATATTAATAAACCGTGTTTTCTACATGTTTTTGTTTAAATGTATTAGCTTAATTACTTTCATCCTCATGAACAAAAATCTCATTACTTGTTAAAAGAGTTATTCATGGTACAGTAATGTATTTCCTGGAGTAACATTCCGTAATTCCGTTGCCGGAATCCTGCAGGATTTTATTTCGAAAGCGAAGCGAGTTAGCACTTAACGAGTAAATTTCTAAGCAAAAACGTTCTGCATTAAAAAAGGAAGTGCTTTTAAAAATTAAATGAAATTCTCAAAGAGCTTTCCAGAGATAACTGTAATTATGGACTGTTATAAGAAAAGCAAGCATGAAGTAAACATATTTATTATTTTAATAATTTAGTAATTTCCATGAGGACTGTAAATAGGAAAATCTATACTAATATTATAAGAGGACACATTGTTTGTTAGATTGTAATGAAATAAATCACTACTGGACCGATTTATATTATTTTTTAATTTGACGCGGACGGATTTGCGGGGGAGAGTTAGTCGTTTATATGCTGCTGGGATAGTTTTGTCGTACGACTTAATACTGAAAACTTTCTAAACTATGGAAATAAATGTTTAACTTTTTTTCTAGTTAAACTTAAATTGGTTAACATATGACATTAATATCTAGTATCGATCGACTGGCAGGCGATGACGCAGGACAGACGACGCTGGCGCTCTCTCGTGTCGGAGGCCAAGACCCACATTGGGTCGCTGCGCCAACGCAGTAAGTAAGTATGACATAGATAGTATCTTAAGTAACCATTATATACCTCTGAATAAAGCATTAACACGATTTACTAAAATATACCATTATTTCCAATGCAATATTTTATTCAGCACTAAATAACTGCGGTATCACTAGCTACTTTCTATATGTTAATTACGCTCTATTTACATTTTAATGGAATATTAATTAAATAAAACATGATAAGGACATGTGACCTGAAAACCATATATTCGAGACAGTTGTGGTATCAACATGATGAATAAATGTTTATACGTTTATCGAAATCCTGTCACGAACGTTCAAAGAATTATATGCTCTATCATGGGAGGCATTGGATTGCAATTACCTCTTAACCAAAAATTACATTTTATTAATGATATTATCATCATTAGCAACAAATTATATTTAAATTGATGGTGACTAATAAAAGAAAATACCTTTTTACATTTTCACAACCGTTTTTAATACCAGTACTTATATATATTACCAAATAAGAATCTCTTGTAGAGATATCACTATTTAAAGTAAATAATAATAATTTACGTATCAAAATTCAACATTTACGGCCATTGAAATGGCAATAAAGAATTCATTTTTGTCGAACCACTGAAAGGATTATTGCCAGAAATAAATCCTCCCGCAGCAGTAAATCAACGCATTTAAATATATCTCCACAAAGCAAATGTAACAAATAGGATTACCGAGTAACTCAATTTATGTTCATTTATTTATGTAATTTATTCATTAATGAACACAATATAATTTGATCTCATTTCAAGGCAGGAATAGTCATACCGACTAATATCGCACCAACAGAAAAAAACTATACATACCCATAAAAACTTTCACAGAAATTTGATCTAAATACACGGCAGAAAAAAAAAGTCACAAATACACATCCAAAACTTTAAAGAGATTACTGTAGTATAATTTTAAAAATATACAGATGAGCTGTTTACTTTGGCAGTAAGTTTGATGGCATTGTACTCACCTAGTGCTGGCCACTGGCTGCCATACAGCATCCAGCGGTGCGTGCGCCGGCGGCGGCGGCTCGCCCCCATCCCCACCAGTCTCTGTTCGCCCTTCCCAATTCTGTGAACAATGAAAAATATACCATATCATATCCATGCCATTATCTCTACATAGGAACGGTACATACGTCTTCTATTGCGTCTAGCAAATCGATCTTTCATTTGCTTTTTTTACCTTAGATTTAAAAAATAAAAATCAAGTTATATTATTTTTTTTAATCGACCAAGCTGTTACACAAAAACATACAAACGAAAACATTACCCCAATAATACCATTTTTTTTCTTAATCATATTACTGCTGGCTGCTTTTCACTGTTTACATTTTTAATAGTTTATGGCGGATTTAAACGCACAATCAATGATCTATTGGCATACATATCTACATAATTAGATTTTTATATTTTACTTGAAATCAGAATATATTCAAGACCAAAGTGACAAAATTAAATCAGTCCAAAAAGTTTTTAACGAATTTACGATGTGACCCTTGTTAAAACTTCAATTACGGATGGCTCCTACATTTAACACACGAACGAAACATATTTTAGGCAATGACATGAATCAGTAATGAAATACTGAAATTTAAGTAAACTATTTAATTTTATATTAACATATATATGACATTCAAATGTTGGAAACGGAAAATATGTTTGCATACAAATCATACTAATATTATAAATGTGAAAGTTTAGATGGATGGATGGACGTTTGTTAGAGTTTGTAGACTAACGGGAGAACGGATCTCGCTGAAATTTGACATAGATGTAGAGCATAGTCTGGAAGAACACATAGGCTAATTACTTTTGTTTTTTTTAATTCCACGCGGACGGAGTCACGGGCGAAAGCTAGTTACTTTATATTTTACTGCTTTACAAAATGTTACAGTACATTTTAAGGAAAATTAATAACACGCTTGGTTACCTATTAAGTAAAGGCTTGCAAGAATATACGGGGGCGCTCAAGTAATTTCCTCCTGCGCCTTCCTTGTCACAGATTAAATAACACGCTTGGCTGGAAATCTTTGCTTTGTGCAATATTTAAAATTAGTTTGAATTAAAATAACAACTTGTATAAAAGTGTCTAAGTTCAAAAACTATTAATTTTCGTTATGACCTTCAAAGACAATCAATTGCAATTGTCCAAGTTGCTTCATCTAAAAGTAACGTTGATTTCTATCGTTTACGTAAAACATTGAAATAAGTCTAGAGAATGCGATCACGGACAGCTATTTAATATTTAATAAGCATCGTGATATAAATGCTTCAATATTCTAAGATGTTATAATATTCCGTTTGAGTCGACGACTGGACGAGCGACTGCAGAATTACAATAAAAAATTTACTGCATGTAATTGTAGGCAAGGCGCCGCTATGTCTACATGTCGCATACTTATCTACATTTTTAAACAATACGCTTTACATTGTACTCATAGTTATTTTGCTAAGGCGAAAAAAGTAACTACCTTACTTACTAGGCTTAGCATACGAGTAAGTTTATCGTATTATGTTGGCTGTTTAATTCCATAAGTTTTATATTAATATTTCGTATTATTTTCTACTAACTATAACTATTTTATGAGATAAAAATCAATTTATTTTCAATTGATTAAAAGTTGCTATGCAATAAAAAAACTCTGCAGTAGCAAATAACACGCATTATTTATTTGAAAAAAAAAAAACGATTTGGTTAAAAGTTTCCAGTCTAAATACGTTCTAATATTCAAACAAATTCATGGAAGAGGCGTGCAGCAGCAAAAAGTCTAATTTGAACAGAATAGTTGTCACGACAAACTATTTGCGTAGCAAACTTGCAATTTCTATGCACTGGTTATCTTGTTTGACTTGTAAACATTGCGTTTACGTGCCGGACTGTATTCTGCGAGGTGAATACTAGAACAGACATGGTTGAAAACTGTTCCTCTGTTCTAGCTTGCTATCGCTTGTTACTTCTTCCATCTGTATGGTACCGTAGGACTTTTTCATTTTGTTCCATTTCACCTTTAAGAAATTAACAGTAATATTTAAGCCTAAATAAACTGACATCTCTGATAACTACGTAAATTCTTAGAATTTCCAATACAATCTTTAAAAAGTGTAAATAATCGTTATATGTTAAAGAATGTTAAAGAAGAATGCAATTATATTCAATAGGTACATTTTTATCAAGTAAGGATAACAATAACGTCACTCTAATTGACGTCGGTCGACAGAATGAGGGATGTTTAAAAAGCAAAAGAGAATAATGGATGGTCAAAAAGGTTTACGCAATGCTTTGTGTGGAAAAATGTCAGTGTTAAAAAGTGTAATATGTCGAGGGAAATGTTTGTACTTTACACGATATTGTCGGTAAATTGCAGTGTAACGTTGTTATTTATCATTAGCCTAGCTTCGCTCAGTGTTTGTACGATAAACATTCAAACCTTTTTAACTCTAATGTTTAAAAAAACACAGAAACTACAAACCGAGACTAGATTACGTACACTTTGATTTTGTTAAATTTTAAAAGCCTTTCCAATAAAAGAATCGTCGAAATAAACGACAACAAATTTAAAAGCGCTTGTTGAAAAATCTAGTTTTTCAAACTGTATTTTCTGCTTGTTATATTCGTGACAGAGTTTGTTACGAGTTTAACTGGAATTGGTCAGTTTAATTCAGTTTAATTAAAACTGATTAACTACAATTGTGAATGATAAAATTGTACAATTTAGCTTTAAAAATTCATCCGGTTGTCACATTCGGTAACTAAAATGAGCCCATATCTACAAATAAGTATATATTAAATTTAAATTATTTTTTTAGAATTTACAGTTAAGCAGACTACACAATATTTTGCTGTAAAAATCAACATTTACTAAGTTTGTCGTACACTAAATAAATTTAAAAAAAAATCGTTAAATTCCAATCACATTTGCGTGAAGCGAGCAAATGATTAGTTCAACTTCAGTGGGCACGTTTGCTTTGAGAAGGAAAACTTCGGTTAGGTGGTAAAGTTTCCACATCAATTCTCTTGAAGAATATCACTCGACCTAATCCTTGTAAATCCTTCAGCTGAACCTATCTACCTAATTTGAATGTTTTATTTTTGCAACATTGTCTGATATGTCAATTTACGATATATAAAATACCTAATTAAACTATTCGATTTACGCTAATTGTGTGTTATCATTTCATCAAGGAATGGTGATCAGGAATAAATCATAATAAGGAATATTTTACGGATTTCACAACCCCCGGATATGAGGATTGCAACTCAAGAAGGCGAGCTTTGTTATGTAGAGTAAGAATACTCGCAGATTGTACTTATATACTTTGACTAGAAAAACTGTACATCTTTGAAAAAACATGCGCGAAGCGATACTTCACCGCCAGAAAATCATGCGACAGAAAACTAAATAACTTTCCTAACCCTCTTTTGCCTGCTTTTATAAAAGTTGGTAACGCAAGTGCAATTCCGGTGCTTGCGAATGTTTATGGGTTGCGGTTACTTTATATCAGGGAAAACACTTCCTCGTTCGATATTTTTTTACAAGACGATGTTTATTTCTTTTAGAAAAATCAATAACTGCCTATTATTTTAAAGAGTACGAGAGGTGTCTGTTTTATACATGTATTTCAGCAGTGGAGACTCAACAATGACAGCTCAAATTTATTGATATACGAAGAGTCATAGTAAATGACTTTATAAGTAGTAAAAAGAGCTAGGTTAGTTATTCGTCTTATAAAACTTCCATTCCGAGTTGAGACGCATACATAGCTGACTCGGAATTTCAGTGCGAATCTCAAGGGACTCCCTTATATGCAATACCATGTAATATGAGGTCATCTATATAGGGAATGAACTCACATGAAACTCGACACTTTGTTAATAAAATGTAGGCATTTTATTAACTGACTCAAACTTTACGATTCGGGTTTTTGCTTGAATACATTTAGACGGCTGGCATGAATACTTTCTTAGTAAAAATATAAAGGGCTTTCGAGTAACTTACAGTAGTTAATTGTTAACTAAGTAATCCCTTAGTATAGAGTTGTCGTTTACCATTTAATTATGAACGTGGTAGTGTTATTGAAATTTAGTTAGGCAATCTCTCAGTGTATTGGTGACATGTCCCTCGCATTCTATTCCACAAACAAATGATCCGATTCGATCGATAATAGTTTTCAATGCACGGTCAGGGCCGGATACAAAACTCGACAAATAGAACGGAATTCAATCTCTTTTTAAACTACAGATACAAGTTTGATTAAAAAAGTTTCATCAACAAGAGATTTAAAACAACGTTAGTATGTATTTGTTTTTGAGTATAGGTTTTTTTTTTATTTTAATTAATGGGAGAACATAAATGGATGAATGAATGGATTTTATTACAGTTCTCCAGAACAGTTAAACGAATCCCGCTAAAATTTTTGCATAATAAAACAGTCTAAAAGACAATAGCTACTTATTATATTTTTTTTAAATTCATATAGCTATATTTCCATATTTAATATTCAATGTGGCATGTACGTTATGAATTCCATAAATTTAAGCAAGCTTAATCAAGTTTATGCAACATATCGTAATTTTCATGCTGGCATTCCTGTTTTATGAATGTACGAGATAAGTTAGCAACCCTCGCTATTATTGTTCATTTCATTATATGGTATTTCCTGTGACCTACTTTCGCAAAAATCTTCTCGCTGTTTATCCAAGAATAATATTGCTATTTCAGTATTTATTTAAAACTACTACTTCTTTTTCACATTTTAAGAAAAGTCTCCGATATGTTGAATTTTTCTGTTTCAGATGAAAAAAAAAAACTTTTTGAATCATTCTTTAGGTTCTTTTAGATATCAAACGCTAGTTTGACGCTACCCGAAAGAAAAAATGATAACTTTGTATAACACTATCGCCATCAATAGATAGAAAATTTATCGGAACATTTTTCTTTTTTTATCGCGCTGTCATATCGACTACCACAAAGAGACAGTAATGAACGTTTACCCGCAGAAACAACATGAAATTTAATATTCTATGAGGGCTCATTAGCCGTTCGACAGAAAATATTTCTTTCCGCGTCA